TACATACCTACTAACGAAACAGTGTGAAAGCTCAATCGTTTAACCATTTATTAAATTAGTTGTTTTTAAAGTCAAATAACTCCAATAAACTCAGTTACTACATTAATTTAATTAAAATGTGATTTTTTTTTATCATAGTAATAAGAACTGAATAAAAACTGAACTGAAAATCTCCCTTGAATCATTAATATTGCAGAATTGAACTTATTGATTTTTCCAAGAGAACATCTTACAAGGCGGGTATTTGTAGTAAATATGCGTGTGTATCATTTACAAATCGTCGTTTAAAGTACAAAACCGCGTATCGTGATTCTGCAAAACCGCGTAACTGACATTGACTGCCAAAAATTGGATTTGCTCACACGAGCTCTTGGCTCAATCCTTATCCATTCGTCCTGAAATATACTAGGCAGACATGCAATTGCTTTATAAAAACGAGAACCAATTTAAAATATGAGTGTTTTTACGCTCTAGAAAATAATTTTTACAACTTCACATACGCGATTTTGCATTTTACTGATACGCGGTTTGGCATTTTGTTGATACGCGGTTTTGCACTTTAAACGACGAAATATGACTGTTCAACTAAGTTTTAAACTTTTTAGGTCCAAGTATAAAGTTGCTTAAAAATCTCGTTAATTTTTGAGTTTTTTTTTTTGTAGACGGATTATGCCCAATTCCGCGGACAATAAGGATATCAAATGCCATGCAAATGGGGAAGACGTCAGTGAAAAACTTTCGGAGCAGCTCGGACAACATGTTTCCGAACGAGTTAAACTGTTTGAGGCTCATCATCAAGCCCATCATCCAAAACCGCAACCACACAAGATAAACAACAACATACGCCATGTGGTACCAGTAGGCTTGATTATTGTGTTATTTACACTGTATCTGGCATTGCAATCCAAATACATAAGTAGGGGGCAAGAAGATAATAGGCACGACGATGCCAAAAGGCAAGAATTAGCAGCGCTGGAAGTGGCTAAACGTATCACAATATTAGAAAAGCTCTTGGAATACAAAGATCTTTGCACTGAGCTAGAAGTGTTTACAAAGGACATAGAAAGGGAACACCCTCCCGATGTATCTGTAGACATGATCAGCGGTGGTGAGAAGAACGATGAGTTAGAAAAAACTGATTCAAATACTGAAACTGTCGTAAAGAATAATAATGCGGATAAGGAAAATTATAAAAACAACCATAGTAATATCAATATTAAACCTAACAGCAACAATAAAAAGGGTCAACCAATGCCGAAGAAGACGAATACAGCAGAGCCCATCATTTATTTATTCGCATTAGTATTCATATATTTGCTTTTGAAAGCATTTTCAGACATAAATCAACACTATAAATCGGTAAGCGTATGATATATAGAGAATGAATCATTACCAGCTGAATACTGATACATATTTATTTGTTTTTCAGAAAAACAATGGGGACAAGCGACTACGACGTTGCTCATTGCAATCCTATGCTCAGACTCACAAACAAGATCGTCGTGCTTCTAAAGGTATAGCATACAACAAAAAAAAAAAAAATACGTTATTTCAAAAAGTTAAACTATTTATTAGAAGGTTTACATAGTAAGGGACTAAAATATGTAGAAGCTTAAAAGGATTTTTTGTGCGCATACATATCTACATATGCACACATGTATCCTTAAAATTAATTTGTATGCATAAGTATTCATATATGTACATATATGTATGTGTGTAATTGTTTTTTTTTGGCAAAAAACTATAGTTTTCCCTTCTTATGTTTGTATGTATGTTATTGTACACATCGCTAGCACTTAGTTAAAAGTTTTCGTATAATTTTGGCCTTACCGTGGCTGTGCCTATTTGGACTTAGCAAATTTGCCTTTCTTTAAATATAAACGAAAAAAAATAAAATAAAACAGCCACCTTAATCCTTATGTAAGCGATGTACTTTTATTTTCTCTATAACAACATATGACTTTTCACTATATGCTAACGATATGTATATACATGTGTATGTTTTTGTGACTTAATTCTCTTACTAGTTTAGTTTTTCATTATTTACTATTTTATTTATTTATTACTACTTGGATAAATGAATTCTAAATAACTCCTATCTGTATAAAATATGTTTTCCTTGCTATTCCTTTCATTTTCCTTTTTTCAAATTTCAGGCCTCCATCGTATTTTTACTCGTACTTACTGAACGACTCTAGCACTATTTTTGGCATTGCAAAATTTTTATAACGCAACTCCATGCTCCTTTTAAAATGTCTGCCTTTTTCTTATGAACTGCACAGAAAAACTTATATTCTTGCAACTGTGTACATCTGACTGTGAAAACAATTTAACTTTAATTAGTTGTATTCTTGTAATTATAATTTATAAATTTGTATGTATGTTTTAATATCTTTCAATGTATCATATCAATAAAAATGTCACTTTCTTTAACTGTAACTGAACATTTTTGCTGTTTATTTTGTTCATTCTCTAGAAACCGTTAAGGTAATGTAAATGTAAATTTAAACAACTTCAAAAAAACCGCCGATCTAAATAGTGGGGAGAAAACTATTGGCCTAAACTTTTACATTTCCAAATTTTACTTTAGATCGAAAAAAAATCCGAAATTCTAGCTAATTTGCGGAAAAATACTTCATTTGACGAACAGAATCGGTTAGCAAATATTCAATGCGGAGTTTCCGTCTTACCAAAACAGGGTAAGTTTGCAATATTTGTATCAATTGAAACAAACCATGCCTTTTAAATTTTTAGATCGTCAGAAGAACGCTTTGCCAATAATACCTGTTTCGAATATGGCGCGCCGGACTTCTTTGGCTGGCGTGCATGTTAGCACGAATGAAGTTGCTGATCACGGGCAGGATGCGCAAATTCACGAAGTCAAAAGACGCGTGCGCATGATAAATCGACACTAAGGTGTGATACGTTTCCTGGGCCTCCTGTTACTTGAGCTTGATGACAATGATTGAACGTTGACCCGAAATAGGCGTTGTTGCGACCTCTGTTTATTTGGTTATTTTTAATAATTTTCATTTAAAATATAATACAATCTATAACAGAAAACACATAATTAAAAGTTTCAAAGCTTGGAAAGATTTCAAAAAAAATTATCAAACCTTAAATATTTCAAAACTTTTAATATTAACGCATGATCTAAATCTATTTTTAACCGACTTCCAAAAAAGGAGGAGGTTATCAGTTCGTCGGAATCTTTTTTTTTTTTTTTTTTTTTTTTTTATGTATGTTACCGCATAACTTTGGACCACGTCAACCGATTTCGATAATTCTTTTGCATCGGAAAGATAGTGTCTCAGAGGTGATCCCATACTAATCTGGTTAAGATCCGATCAGTGGATCATGATATATATATATATATCTTTTTTTATATATGAGAGTTGAAGTCGGTTTTTTTTTGCTAAAAATTACTTGTTATGAACACCGCAGCGACTTGAAACTTGCACTTTATTAGACTACAAGTAATTTTAAGCAAAAAAAAAACCGACAAAAAAAATATATATACATATATCTATATATATTTCATGATCCAATGATCGGACCTAAACCAGTTTAGTATGGGACCACCTCTGAGACACTACCTTTCCGATGCAAAAAGATTTTCGAAATTGGTTTACGTGGTCCAAAGTTATGCGGTAACATACATAAACAAACAAAAAAAATATTCCGACGAACTGATAACCTCCTGCTTTTTTGGAAGTCGGTTAAAAATAGAATGGGCTACAAACTGCATCTGATTAAACATTTTGATGACAGTATTTCTAATTTGTGTAAGCTTTGAAACTTTTCTTAATGTGTTTTCTGTTATAGATTGAATTATATTTTAAATGAAAATTATTATAAATAAATAAATAAACATAAGTTGCAAACAAAATCATTTTCAATTTCGATTCTAATTAGATCGCAGGTGTACGTATGTAGGAACAAATGTGCATACATACATACGTAAAATTAAAATTTTTAAATAGTTCTATTGATGTACAGTATTATCAATTTCAATTACATATATCATATGCTTGTTACTTGCAAAATTATGACACTTCACCTTCTTTTTTTTTCTTTATTATGTAAAAACTTTAAAAATATTACAAGTTTAAATTGCTGGCCAGTATTTCGTCGTTTAAAAATGTTCTTGGTTACAAAACGATAAAACACTGCAGTTGTAAGAATAGTGTAGTTCCCATGGTAGGGCACTGCGCTACTCTCTAGATTTTTAAACAAATAATTCTTGTGTTTTGCACTCAAGTCTACTAAGTTAAATAATTTATAGCTATTTAATTTAATTATACATATATAAATAAAGTTGGATACACCTTTGAAGTGAATTATAAAATATGCATACAAATATATGTACGTACATATGTATAACTTAAACTAAAGCAACACCCACATTTTTGGAAATAAGATGTCATTATTTCTTATATGACTGTGAAAACAGTTTAACTTTATAGTTAAACTAAGCAAGATAGAAACAATCTTAAAAACTGTTACAATAAACTTTTAATATATATAATTACATAATTTAAAATGGTACAATAATATATTTCAGTTTTTAAGAGTACGTTTTAATTAAAAAATTTAATTTTTGTTTAGAAGAAATTTTCCATTTGTATCATCGCCATAAGAAAACAAACAAAATAAAAACCAATAAACAAATACATATGTGTACATTTTTTAATCTTTTTTTTTAATTTTTCAAGATAGTTCTAAGAAACATTTCACGTTAGGCTGCGATCGTTGCCCTCATAGAGGCTTTCACAACTTTCTAGCAACCGAAGCACCGGTGAAATATCGTAGGGATATAACTGGCGAGCTACTAACCGTGAGATGTGCAGGCGCAATCTTATCAAAACACTCATTGCTTCGTCGAGTATTGGTGCACCCATTCCAAACTCGTGGCAACTTCGTAAGAACATATCCCAATTCGCTCGTATATATTTTAAGAAACGAAGGAGATATAATAAGAAGCATGTCTCATTACTGACAAGCAGGTCGAGTAAAAGGTCTGAACTATTTGAAATCATTTTGAGGAACTCTAAAAATGTGTATACAGGATTTAACATAGACACTAGCTCGGGAAAGGCGTTATTGCGAAACGATATGCCAGCTGTAACGTCTAACGTACAGACCATTGCTTCGATTAAATGATCATCCTGATCATCGAACAGATGTATGAGCATTTTGCTAAAGTGACACTCAGGGTGGAATTCTAGTTTGTGCTTTATAAATGACTCTAGCCTCCGTAGTACATCACGTATGGAACGCTCGATCAGAACCATATCCTGATAGGCGTCGCAGTCATGCGAATCAATGGAAGAATCAGATGAATCGCTGCGTATTTCCTTAACTGTTACAGCGACAGATTTGAGCACAAGAAGCACCATTTTTTGTAGGATTGTTTTATCCATTTCTACGGTGTTAGAGTCTGATTCGGTGACGTCATTCGTAGCAATTACCGAGGAGTGCTGGCTTGCGGCAGAAGTTAGTGCACCTGTCGCACAGTTAGAACCATGGGTTTGTGTCGATGACACACGCATTTGTGCCAACAACGAAACCTGTGCGGCATTGTCCGTACATGCAACCGCAACTTGCTTAAAACCCAAAAAACTGACCATATTCTCTGGCTGATGCCGGGGAAGTGAGTCTAGGATGCGTGCCTCTTTCACATGCCGTACGATTCTTTGTGCCAAACGACACGTCTCCACTGGCAGCATATCCTGCAATGCAAGCGTTGATCCGTAACACAGAGCTTCGTTAAAAAGGCACAGAAGTTGCTTGTACACGGTGCATGAGAGCTGCTGTTGTTGTAAAAGTAGTTCAAACTTATCCAGTTGCGCATAAAACGGACGCGTTTCGACCACTGAAAGATTCGCCTTCACTGATATAATATTTTCCCACAATTGCAGGAAATTAAGAATGCAATGCTCGGCATGGTCTATATGCATATGGTTTACGATAAGAGCCGACATATTCCTCACTAGAGTTGGCCATTTACCTTCGAGTATTTTTATTGTTACACCTTTTAGATGTGAGGTGTCAAAACTCTCAGAGTCTGTGAGTGTTATGATATGACAACCTGGTGACAAAAGCGAACTAGCTAATGGGTCGGAGGACAACGGTTGCACGCCGTTAATATCCACATTCAGCTCAGCTGTATTGGGTGTATTCGAAAAGTGTGTTGCGATTGGATCAAACGGCGGCACACGAGAATTGTGATCCGCTAAGCTATTTCGGGGCATCGACTGTTCATTAAAGGAATGCGTATTATCACTTACGTAATGCAGTGTCGCGTTGACAGTCTCATATGGAATTGTCGGGAGATAATTCGTATTGTTTTGCATAGTATTGTCATGAGAAAAATGTTGACGATGGTGCAGGTGCATTGTCATTTGTGATATGTGTTGATGGTGTCTTCGCGCATGCGCTTGGACCATACTCTCTTCTAAGACATCATCATCTAAGTCATCCTCATACTCATCATCTTCGTCTTCGATTTCTTCATCATCCCCTTCTTCGTTATTAATTGCTTCATCAAGCGCACCACGAAATTGCAATGCAAAATAGTTCGTTTCCAATGTTGGCTGTTGCGGTTGGAAATGGAAAAACCTCTCGGTATCTAGGGCCTCACTTTCCCCAGTGCCACTGGTATTACTGAATGTACTATTTCTACACCGATCAGAAGCAAGACTATTACCACCTTGTGGGTCGATAATTTCGTCCTCAAGAGGATGCAAATCAACATCTTTCCACTCTACTATTCTTTTAATTATCTCCAAACTGAAATGTATTTTCTGCACCGCAGGCCCGTCGAGTCGTTCAAAATTGAAGAGGTTGTCAACCAGTTTCTTAAGCCAATTATCATCCAGCTCTTGTTTAGCGATCACTAGAAATGAAGCCAACACCCTTGCAGCCAAAAACTGTACGTACTCATTGCTGTAAGCGGCCAATACAATTATTTCGTCGATGAGATTATGATCGTTGCGTATAAGTACATCACACACGTCCATTATGCGTGCACAGATGAAGCCCTTCGAATTTTGCTTAAGATATATATCGAATAGGAGTTGCAAATTGGAAAGAAATTGTAAAAGTTTTTCCGTTGGCCACTCCGATAGATTTGCAATTCGCTTTTGACCATTCGCATCAATCGAATAATGCGACTGGAAGGGTTTGCGTAGAGTACGCTCGGAAACACCGCAAAGGCACTGATTATTGAGTGAAGCCTCGAACTCGCGCATGTCCTGAGAATGTGCTGCTGCCAGCATCGGTGCAGCCTCCGCCGGCCGTTCTTGTGGTTGTGACGTGTGCTCGGTTAACGATTTTGGGTCTTCATTGCACGTGCTTACCATGTTAGAGAGTAAATCTGGCATTAGTGTCAATCGATCAACTTCGTCAGTGTTGCTGAATGTTGAATCAGGGCCACTACTTTTTGCTTTCCTATTAATGTTTTGCGGTGATATATCGGGTTTTAAAAAAGTATTGCTAGAAGTTGTGCACCCTTTGACGTTCGCAATACCAGCCAAAAGTTGAGCATTCGTGGCTTGATCATTCAGCAAATGAGACAAGGATGTGGCTCGTGAACCTCCTGGCGTGGAAGTTGGAGAATTATTTGTAGAACTCGGTGTGGATATTGAATTGGCCGAAGATGAAAGCGAAGAGCAGCGTAACTGTTGCTGATTAATATTGCCTACTAATTTTCCGTTGACATTCGAAGATAGTAGGCTTACTCCACCAGTATGAATAATGTCCGGCGGAGGCGATACCGTTGAGGTCGCCGCCCCACCTCTTGAAGGCGATTTAACAACTTTAGCAGTCTTGTCTGCATTTGTTTTGATTTTTTCAATCTTTTGACGTTTAGTTTGTGGCTGTTCTGCATTGCTATTGCTGTTGCAGTTATTACTGTTCGCCGGTGTTGGTATGGAATTATTACTGGCAACACTTTGATCTGCTTTAATCGATGACGAGTTGGACATTATGTGGACGATAGGCAATACGGTCCCGATTTCTAGCGTAAGACATGCAATCCTTGTATACTCCGTTTAGTTCTTAAATCTGCAAAGCAATAAAAGATGTTTAATATATATGTACATACGATGATTTATACCAGTGATGGGCAGCGCAGGCAGATCTCCATAAGCGAGTGCAAAAGTGTTTCTGCCAGCGCTGCTTATGTCTGGTTTAAACAGATAAATGTAAAAAGGAGTAATATTTTACCAATAATTATGTGATAGATAACTTTCTAAATATGGTTGCAATTAACTTTTTTGTACAAAACACAGTTCTCAAAATTTAGAGAGTATACCTACAGTTCGCGCAATATGATTTTCTGAAATAATTCCAAATTTGTACATGAAACAGTTGTGCCTTGCTGTTGGACAAAAGATGCTACTGTGCTACGCATTTGCAAGGTTACGTATGCATTTCAGCAGCACATCAAATAACCACGCACGGTTTTGTTGTTGCAGAGTTGTTAGCTGTTGGCGGAGGCGTCGGTGCCTACCGTTTCGATTAGGCACACGCGGCGTAGTCAAAATATCCCATATTGTGTTATATTTTAACCTTTCGAAGCAAATCTTAAAAGCGACGTAATTTTAATTATAGTTATGGGCACATAGCACTTATTAATATAAGGTACCTATTTACCTTTTCCTATCTTCTTTCCGCTTTCTGCTTTTTAGCAGTGGAAATAGACGAGTGACAGTTTCCTGTTTCTTTCGTTTTTTCGCGAGATCGATGTCGATTTCTTCATATTATGCCCACTGTTGAGCATTTTCCGTCACGCATAACATATTTGACCATCTTGTAAAACATTAAATATTTGGTTTAAGATAATTTAAAGTCGTTTTTCAGCGATAAATCAATTTTTCTCCAATTATTTTGTGCTACTCGGTTTTGCTTTTTGTTGGAATTTGACTTCTTAATTACACACACCAATACACACTCGCTTGCAGTGCAACCAATATAACGACAGAACGAGCAAATCAACCAGTTGCTGCAAAACGTTTTAACGTGTGTTCATTTAACGTAATGTTCAACGTTAAGTAAAAATTGAAAAATTATTAATTATTTCTGGCTCGTATGAATAACAAATAAGCAATTACTTTTTCTTGAATTTTTAGTAAAAGTATAAAATTTTAAGAAAAAGCAATCGCTTAGTTTTTATTCATACGGCCCACTGTTTGGCTAACGAACAAACGTTAAAAATGGACGAACAGTAAGGAACAATCGACGAACTATCGATTGAAATTATGAACCATGTCTTTCGTTCATGGATTGAAATAAAAAATCTTAACATATATACTAAAGCCTGATATACAGTTCAAAGCGAGCGGGGGCGTGAGCTTTTTATTTTGACCAATATCTTAGTTATTACTCAACTTTTTGCTATAGTTGAGACATGAAAAATAGAGAATTAAAATATCTTTCAGCATTATAAATTAAAAACTAATTTAAAATGCATAATATGCCTTTTTTCGAGCTCACACTCAACTGTGTGCGTACGCAAAGCATTCGCATGTGATGAGCGTCCATGAGAATACAAATGGAATTCTTTGCCTTTGCGAACGTTCACGCTCACGCTCGCATTGAACTGTATATCAAGGTTAATGAAGCATGAACCAAAAATACAAGATCACGCAAGAACGCCACGTTGTATTTGTAACTGGTTTTGAGAAAAAAGTTTGCGAAAGCGGGTTCGTCAGCTGGGCATTTGTTTACATCACAAGCACCATTATTTTACACTTTTCTTTTACTAAAGAAAATGTAATTCAGCATGACAACACGGTGTAAATAATTTTAACGCATAATTTTACCTAAATTATCCGTTTAAACTAGCTGACAGTAATTTTAGTTAAATGTGGTTGTCGCAATTTTTATTGCTTTGTTTACTTTTCTTTCGTTTTCCAGCGAAACAAAATTGACTTATTTCACTCTCTTCGTTCGTTCATGCTAATGAAGTGAAGTGGGTCCGTAACCCATTGCGGTTGGCCATCTGGGACGTATTTCATAAAGCGACAGTGATAATTTTGTAACGACAGGCCTTTTCCATGTTGTCAGTGACAATTCGACAATTTGGTGGGGTTTTGTTTCATAAAAATAATTCTCACTAGCTGATAAATTCCATGGGAAATTCCATTGAAAAAGTGAAAAATTGCCATTGTCGAGGTTTAAAATTGTCGTTGACAAAATTATCGCTAGTCATATGAAATTTATATGTTAATCATATGTAATAATTGCATTTGCCTTATTTTAGTTTTAAGAAGTATTAGGCGTCTTCAACTAAAGAGATAAAGAGATATATTTCTTAAATTTATCAGTTTATCCGACCTCTTTCATGAACGCACCTTGGTAAATAATTGCATAAAACTGTTTATTATTTAACGTATATGGCTAGTTACGTTTCATTCTTACCTCGTAAATTTTACCTACCTGTCAACCTGTATGGGTTGAATTTTGTTGAAATTTATACATTTATAATCCAAAGTCGTCTGATAAAGTGATAAAATTTGGTTAAATAGATTTCCATACAAAGTTTGACAGTTCATTCATCACTTTATCAACTTTATCAACTTTTGATGAAGACCCCTATTTAAATTATTGAAAAGTAATGAAATGCGCAAAATTACCATATAAATACATTTACAAAACTGTCGAAAATGAAAATTTAAAAATTAACCACCTGTTTTTCGCCTTCTATGGGAATTTTTTACACGATTGAACAGTTATCACTTTTGATCCACTTGGATGAAACGGTCACACTGCACATATGAAGTAAATACTGACACATAGATGTCCCTGTCGAAACTTCTTTTGAGGATTACTAAAGTCGGTTGTGATAACCCTAACCCAGAAACACATTAAACTTAAGAAACAACATTAATAAAACAAACAGTGCTTAAGGAAAACTATGCGACATATTAGCAAATAGCTCTGTAATAAGCCCAATAAACTATATCCTATTCAATAGATAAATTTGTATATAACATTGGGTATATGAAAATAATGCTTATATCGGCGTTTAATCCGAAAGCGTAATCATAATACTAACGCAAAACTTAACCAAACATATGCCGGATTTGGGTTCTGGGCTTTAGTTTTTCATTCGACATTGACAAACCTGCGTAGACAGAAATTGAATTTGTTTCCATCTGCTCGTCGGTGTGAACGTTATTAAGTTGTAATAATTCAGATTTATCGTTTAATTTGCTTTATTAAACAAATAAATACCTGTCGCAGCCTAGCAGCAATATTCAACATTTAAATTACTTTTAAAATTTGCACCGCGAATCTGCATCTTTGTAAACGCTTGCCTACGAAATTTCAGTAAATTTGGAAAAATGGCAGGACCACTTCCATTGCTTTCTGAGGAACCGGCTTATCAAAAATTGCAACAATTTTATAATGCCCACGGCAAAGATATTAAGATAAAGGAACTTTTTGCTAGTGATACTAATCGCTTCAATAAGTATAGGTGAGTTGTCTTGGATTGTGGTTGGTTGAAAAATTGCAGAGAAAAAGTTTGTATAACATCATATGATGTGTATATCCTTGTGCATATCCATGTATACGTGTATCAAATCAATTTAAATTTGATTTCAAAACGTACCATCATCAGTGCCTGTTATGTATTCTTACATCGTATGTTTGTACATACATATGTACCTGCACATATTGTACATATACATATGTACATACATATATTGGAAGTATGTATTTTATACAAAACAACTAAAACTCAAAGTGCATATCTCAACCATAACTTAAGTTATAATACATAATTATGTACATGCGTATATAGGTTTATCTATACTTAATATATACATATATAGATATGAATGCATATGTATATCCCTACCTCCAAAAGCTCTTCTAGGGAGTTGAGTGACTGAACGACACGTCCTCAGTTGAGGGCACATTAGATATTAAGGTCGCTGTGCACACTTGTTTATTATCTATCTAACTACAGTATTCCCCGCTTGATTGTACTTCAAAAATTTTTGGTTAAATTAGCCGGGGAATCAATTAATCGATACTCGTTTAATTAAACAGTTCGTTCAATTACAGAAATTACGCTAAATTGGACAACCTAATCAATTAAAAGAAAATGCATGTGTGCATTTTAAGTCATTATTAAATGAAATAATATTTATATATTTTAAACTTTAAACGACAAAATATATAGGATAAAAACAATTTATATTTATCATTGTACATTTGTAAGTATGTACATATATTTGTCCTCAAATTTTTAGAGATAATTGTTATAAAAAAATAAAAAAAACGTAAAAAACATTTAACCGGGGAAAACTGAAAGTATATCTTTTTTTTTAACAATAAGGTAATTAAAATAAGAGGGGAGACCATGTACATGCATATGCGTACATCATTTCAGTACTTCAGTCTGCATCGTAATTCAGTTTGCTTCACTGTGAAATTTACTTCAAATATGTAAACTACTCATACTCTAACAAAAAGGGTATGGAAGGAAGAGAAGTGAAGATATTGAGCGCTGTATACATAAAAAAAGTACTCAAACAAATTATGTTCCGAAAAAAGAGGAACATTAATCAGCAGTACCATGCTGTTAAACTTCCACAAAAAAGATGTTCCTTTACAAGTATTTTTTGAGTATTTTTCGAAGTTTTCGTTTAATGCTACATAATAGTTGCGTTCGATAACAAAATTAGCCAACAATCAAAATCAAGAGAGTAAGCGAAAATTCTCTCCCAAAGAGATGAAAAAGCAAAAAAGTAAACGAACAGGAAATTAGCCATTGTTTATGTTTTATTTGTAAACAAACTGAAATTCATATTGCCTCGATGGAAGAAAAAAGGAAAGTGAACGTTCAATGTTCGCCAGGAACATTTCTAGAAGTAAAAACTAGTTGGCGCTATCATAAAGTCACATAGCAGGCAGCCAAAAAGCATATAAATACCAAAACTCGAAAAATGCAATTTTGTTTGTTTACAAAAATTGCAACCATATGTTTTGTGATCATATATTTTCGTGTTGGATAATTTTTGCTTACTAAAATTTTGCCAGTACAAAATGAACGCTTCTCTTGCATCAAAAAGAACGCTTGCTCTCTCAATTTTTGTGTGTTGGATAATTTTTTGTCGTTATCGAACGCCATCCAGTAAAAATTTGGAAAAACTACTACAAACTTTTGACTTGTCGAACGCAACTAATTAATCAGCCTCATTGCGTAAGTCGTAAATTAGGCTAAATTGTACGACTCGACAACAGTAGCATTGTCTATTGTCGTACTGAAATAAGTAAACGACCAAAATCGTCGAAAACTATACAGTGCTGCCAAGTTTTTCCGTTTTAATACACTAGTCGAGTGGAAATTTTAGGCAATGACATGAACTTTTCGATACGATTCGACTCTCGAAAAACGACTTGCATTCGACACGACTCTCGCAATGAGGGTGAATATTAGAGCTGACTTATGTTAAATAACAAACATGGAGGAACAATGTAGGGCGCTCCGAATATTTAGCCAACAGCATATTTTTATAAAGAAAGTGACTCATTTTATACAAATGACCAATTTTTAATTTTACAATACGATATTTTCATTTCCTAATACCAGGCGCTCTTACATATAAAGTAGCAACCCAGTAGTGAAAATGGTCACCAGTGACATCGTCATTAATGAGGAAGACTTATAACAGACAATAGGAGTGTACTCGTACGCCCAACTATCTAAAGTTTTAGAAAACTTTTACTGGTTTTGCGTTCTCGTACCCAAAAAACTTGCAAAGTAGGGGAAATTGAGAGAGCAAAATGTGAAAGAGAGCTGCAAATTTCTGCTGGAAAAATTTTTCCCAGCTAAAACTTGCAAGTAAGAAAAGCAGCTGATCACAAACACATGTTTGTAAATAAACAAAAGAGAATATGGCCTTTTTGAGTTATTTATTGCAAATTTTATTATCAATGCAGGTATACAGCTAAAAAGTGCGTAAATTTAATAAGCACAACCTTTGTTGAGTTTATTTTTCGTTAATTTGCTATTAATCTCCAGTTTGTTTACTTTAGTGCGTGCTGACTATGGTTGCCGTATGGCATTTTTCGTTTGGACCATAATTTACCTTTAAATATACCAAAATAGATTTAAATGAAGCATGCTGAAATGTTTTTTTTTGCTGAAGTTTTCGGTTTTGGTAGGTTGATTGTTGAAATGAAAATTTTATAGTTTTAAACCTATTCTATTACATTTTTTTGGATCAATGATGGGTGTTTGGAGGAGATACTCTCGTTTTTAATGCGTCGCCATGTGATATCACAAATAATTATGAGAAAAATAACTTATTCATTCCGATATAATTAATTTGTATTTTAAAAAGGTTTTTCTTATCGAAAACTATTCAATTGTATAAAATTCCAAATCGGGGGAAAATGTACCAAACAGAAAGTAAATTGCCAAATTAATCACCAGTGGCAACTGTGCAAGTGATCAGCTGTTTCGAAGGTTGCCAGTTTTTGCAAATTTTGCGTTCTCGTACTTCTGTTGCTGTTTCGTCTCTTTGAGAGCGAATGCTGCTAAATTCTCAGAACTTTTGCTGCTGGAGAATTTTGTCCTATCAATACGAGTAAGTACACACCTAATGTCTTGCAGCGGTCGCTTATAAAAAGTCATTGTAAGACACTGTCGCTTGAATGTCATTAATGATCACTGCATGACCAAGTCATGCAGATTACATCAACGACGAGCCTGGTATTGGGAAATGAAAATATCGACGTGACAATGAAAACTGGTCATAAAGAGAGGTCGCTGGTTGGACACACATTTTTGGTAATTTAAAAAATTTACATAATACATATGTACATATGTATGTACATAAATCATCGATTAAATGATGAAAGTTGCTACCATTCGATGGTTGTTATGTATGAACGTATGTATGTATATATGTAAGATTCGAACTTTTTTGCAAACGTTGAAGCGTCTGGCGAGAAATGTTGGCGTCGGCGCTTTTTAAATATAAAACAATATTTTAAGTATATATATACTTGGAATAAAACGAAAATGTATGTCTTTCCTTAACATTATGTTAAATGCTAACATTTTAAAAGAAAAAACTTCATACATAAGTATTCCAATACTTCCTATGAAGTTTTCAAATACAGTGTTTTATTTAGCAGAGCGCTGTTGAGTAACATTGCTTAGTACCTCAAATTTATGATTTTCTCTGTTTTAACCTTAAGGTACCTTACCATTAATGGCAATTATAATAGGGAGGTTCTAGTTTTTTAAACTATAATTTTATTGTTCCTATCTTTTTATGTAAGTACTCTAAAATTTATGTTCCATTCACTCATGTACACATGTGAAGAGTATTTCGGCAGGTATATTTGCAGTCCTTTAGTACTACATGAATAAACATTTTGTCAATATAAAATAATTAAAAACCGACTTTAAAATTAATAACTCAAATAACTTTTTACCAATTTGGGTGGGCCGAACTAATATGATGTGTAATAATTAGAAACAATTTGTTTTTACAAGTTTTAACAATTCATTTTTTTCTTTATTACATTTAATTAATTTTCTTTTTCAGTACTTCAGTAAATATTCGCAACATCCCTGGTACATATGTACATATTTTCAGACATACCGAGTGTACATATGTATGTATGTATGAATGTTTACGCAAGTGATTTTTTAGCCGCATAATTTGCAAGCGCGAGTAAAATTGATAACGCTAAATTTAGTGAGCGTTTGGTACCGCCGATGTGGTTATGCTTTTTACGTTCATGTTCACGTGTACCATCTGAGAGGTCATTCAATTAAGGCTTTTAACATAAAAGTTAAACTGTTGTCAGGCAGATGTACACAGTTGCCGTTATACAAGAAATAGTGACATCTTATTTTTTAAAATTTTCGTGTTTTTCGCGTTGATTGATGATACATTCTCCCAGGTAGAGAATGTTTTTCCCAGCATTGACGTCTCGATTCCAACAGGTAACGCATTTTGGGCAAAATTGGTACCTGGGGGGCGATTTGGCCGTCAGGTTGACGCTAAAACATTTTGCGCAAAGTTTGGTTGTTCTGAATTCATTAACCATCAAAATATCTGCATGCCGTTGTTTTAAACTTAATTTTTGACTTTTTGGAGACCCATTGAGACTTTAGATGCGTAAAAATCTTACGAAGCTTGTAAGTATGTAGGTAACGGTATTTTTAGGTGGGACATATCTGTCCCAGCAGTATTTTGGGATGGGACATATTTGTCCCAACAGAGTTTAAACCACACAAAAACAAAAACAACAAAAACTTGTTTGGCAATAACGTATACTTTGCTGAAGCGAAACAATTTATACAGAATGGTAATCTACAGGCACGGCAAACAATTTTTGTTCTTTTCTCCACTTTTCGTTTGGTGCATGTGACGCATCGACGTCTTTTAGATTCCTCTTTGGGCAAATGATCTCCTACATTTCGCATGGTATTGTACATACGGTAGATTCCTTTCCTATTTCAATAAGCGACTCAGCAATTTCAACAAGCACTGTTAGAAAGGGACGTTTCCTTCTATTCAGCTCCGACTGTATAACCCAAGTGTTAACAGCAGCCATCATCATGCCACGATAAAAAACTTTTTCACCATTTGTTTGATTTTCTGTTTATATCATACAATCCCGACATTTGGTTTGCTAGGTCCACACCGCCCATTATAGCGCGGTACGTTTTTACGATCTCAGGGTATGAAAATTCTCCCTCAGTGCCGCCTTTCATTTTGCGTTTAACAGTGCTCATTTCCGGGTTGTGACAGTTACTGAGCAGCATAATTTCTTTGACGTCCTGCCACTTCACCGCAATGGTACCTGCAATCACGCAAGTAACGAATATAAAAATAAATTAAAAGTAATTGAATATGATTTAGTACCTGCCAAATTGACTTTGAAAATGGATTCGCCTCGCTGCAACTTCTCAGGCATTTTCAAGATATTCTTCCGATTGGACATGCATGTTCCCAGAGCTGGATATTGTATGTTGTTAATGAGATGCACAGAGGGGAAGAAACGATCAAAGCAAAGTGTCACGTCGGGGTTCGAAATCGTTGCTGCAAGATCATTCACAACTCGTTCGCCGAGTGTTCCTTCAAGTCCAGATCCTTCATTTCCACTGTAAATATTAATGTCATAGGTGTATCCACCCAGAGAATCGCAGCGAAGCCACATTTGCGACAAACTTTGATTTTTTTTTTCAATCGATTTATGAAGTCACCTATATAATAGGTTTTTCCTGCATCTCTAGGCTTTTCAACAGGAGCGAAAAATAGCTTAGACATTATCTGTTCAAAACGATCACGTGATATGGCTGATTTTATAGATTCGTTGCTCAATGAATAATGATTCGACCAGTAGTCCTTTATAGATGGCACGTGGTTATAGGACATGATAAACATGCATCCAAGTATTATATCGATTTCGCCGGAGTTGGTTTGAAGAAGTTTTTTTTCCGCTTTGTCCCGATAGAGGTAGTTTCCTGAGTCTATTGTTGGTGCACTGGGCGATGTACAAAGGCATGCTTCTTGGGAATAATTTGCGAAAATTTTCACAGGGTGTTGAGTGACGTGCAATATTTTCTGATTTTTCACTGATCTCATCGTCGTCTTCTTGAAGTAATGCACTTATTTCTTCGCTATCCAATTTGGTAATTTTTTCAGTCTACAACATCGCAAAAGGAAAAAAATAACTGTATGGCAAATGGTGTACAACGTACTGCTGGTTCATATACATATGTCCCACTATAAAACCCGGTTGGGAAACATACGTTCCAAGATTTATTTTCTTCGACTATTTTTTACAAAACACTTTTCAAAATATATTTTTATACTTACCGCTATATGTACAGAATTTTGTTATCAAAATATCACCACCACTTTGAAATATGCGTATTCTTTTTTAAAAATTAAGCGTAAATTTTATCCGACGGCAATCTCTGCTCTCAACTAACTGAACAAAACAAAACACGAGCGAAGTTGTATGTAACGTGGATAACGGTAGATTGCAAACATTGTTCCTAGCTACTGACTGGGACATTTTGGTTGAGTTTACAATACAAATTGCGATTTTCAGAGTCAAATGAACATTCCGTGGGACACCAGTGTCCCTGCAGTAGCGAAAGGGCGATTGTTAAAATATAAATCATATTTTAATAAGAAATCAACCAGGAACGTCTAGCATGAAAAATCTTTCCATAAGTATTCATATATGTATGTAATTGTTCATATTTTCGCAAAAAACTAGGTTTTCCTTCTTATGTTTGTATGCATGTTATTGTACACATCGCTAGCTAATAGTGAAAAGTCCTTTTGTAAGCGATGTACTTTTATTTTCTCTATAACAACATATGACTTTTCACTATATGCTAACGATATTTCGGCTTTTAAATTTTCTACTAAAGACATATATACATATACTATATACATATAGATGTACATATGTACATACATATTAGATATACATATTTGTACATTAATAGTCTATTATTAAAACAATTAAAAATATGATTCAATAAAAATTTCCTTTCATAATTTGTTATATTTGGATTATTTAGTCTGCGTTTGAAGACACCCAATGATGGCGAGATATTGATTGACTATTCAAAAAATCGCATTACAGAGGACGTGTGGCCTTTGTTATTTGACTTGGCAAAATCACGTAAGGTAACGCAAGCGCGCGACGCCATGTTCTCTGGAGAGCCCATTAATATTACAGAAAATCGAGCCGTACTCCATGTTGCACTACGAAATCGCGGAAATGAACCAATCCTTGTCGATGGTAATGATGTAATGCCGTTAGTGCGGGCTGAATTATCCCACATGAAGGAGTTCACCAATCAAGTTATCTCAGGCGTCTGGCGGGGCTGTACCGGCAAGCAAATCACCGATGTGGTTAACATTGGCATTGGCGGCTCCGATTTGGGACCTTTGATGGTAACTGAAGCACTCAAGCCCTATTGCAAGGGCTTGCACTCCCATTTCGTTTCAAATATTGACGGAACACATATGGCAGAGGTACTAAAACGGGTTAACTATGAGACAACGCTTTTTATTGTTGCCTCGAAAACATTCACGACGCAAGAGACCATAACTAATGCCACATCGGCAAAGACCTGGTTGCTAGAGCAAGCAAAAGATGTATGTTTCGATCAATATATTTATTTTTTTATATATTTACTAAATTTTAACCACGAACCTTCAAATTAGTCTGCTGCTGTGGCTAAGCATTTCGTCGCCTTGTCGACAAATAAGGAGAAGGTGACTGCATTCGGCATTGACAGTAAGAACATGTTTGGCTTTTGGGATTGGGTTGGTGGGCGCTACTCACTTTGGTCTGCCATTGGCTTATCCATATGCCTATCAATCGGATTTGAAAACTTCGAGCATTTGCTTGAGGGAGCCCACTTTATGGATAACCACTTTAGAACTGCGCCATTGGAGCAGAACGTTAGTTAAAAATCTACATATGTTTTTAAGTAGTAAAAAATGTGGTCCAATTTCGCTGTTATCATGTCTTTTTTAGGCACCGGTGATATTAGCACTTTTAGGTATTTGGTATTCGAACTTCTTCAATGCAGAGACACATGCTCTACTTCCTTACGATCAGTATTTGCATCGTTTCGCCGCCTATTTCCAGCAGGGTGATATGGAGAGCAATGGAAAGTTCGTAACTAAAACCGGCTCCAAGGTAGTTAACTACAACACCGGTCCAATCGTGTGGGGTGAGCCCGGCACCAATGGTCAACATGCCTTTTACCAACTGATTCATCAGGGTACTAGATTGATTCCTTGCGATTTTATTGCACCAGCACAAACACATAACCCCATCGCTGGCGGAGCACACCATAAAATTCTTTTGGCCAACTTCTTGGCGCAGACAGAGGCGTTGATGCAAGGAAAAACTACCGCCCAAGCGCGCTTGGAACTGGAGCAGGCAGGTTTGTCCGGTGTGAAGCTGGAGGCGCTGTTACCTCATAAGACATTTACTGGCAATCGCCCCACTAATTCAATTGTGGTGAAGAAAGTCACACCATTCACATTAGGCACCCTGATTGGTAATTAAAAAAAAAAAAACATATTTGCTTTTATGTACATACATATGTATAATCTAAAAACTTATTGTGTTTTACAGCTTTGTATGAACATAAAATCTTTACACAAGGCATAATCTGGGATATAAATTCTTTCGACCAATGGGGTGTCGAATTAGGCAAACAGTTAGCCAAGGCAATTGAACCAGAATTAGCAACAGCGGATGAAGTTACTACACACGATGCATCAACTAATGGACTTATCAACTTTCTCAAAGCGAACTGGTAAACAACTCCTAATATTGCCCTTACCGTACTCTAGCCGCCGAGGACAATTTGGGAGAAAGTAGTTTTCAAAAACGCAAAAATCATTAAAAAAAAAAAGGTATAATGAGGAAATCCGTTCACAAAAATGAAGTAGGATTGTAGCTGATGCACTACAGGCTTTATATACATATAATTTCCAAGAGTTTGCTTAACCGTATTAGAAACATTCACACTATAAATGGTAGTTTTAAAGCTTATACTTGTGAATGCAAATTGTTGTTTAGTTTTCAGATTTATTGAAGGGGAAAATTAAAATCAATTTAGTAATGAAAATCGGAAATGTTAAAGATACATATTTGTCTACTTCCTAGGGGAGTTATACATACATATTAAGTTTTGTTTAGGATATCACTGATGTGGGACAATTGTTGAAAATTAATAGAGCTTAGTCACTTTCCTCAATTCGGTATGTTAAAAGAAAAATAAATTTGATGTTAGAAAGTTAATCTGTTTTCACTGTCAGAAGAAATAATGGCTTCTTATTTGCAAAAATTGTGATATTAGAATGTCTGCTTTTCGTTGTCTTAAAGCTGCAATTAGACGATTGAGTACACGCCTATATCCTTTTATTGGTGAGTTCGCAGCAAACTCTGTTGATCCGATGCATATGAACTTATTCTCTTTGCTTGGTACGAGTGTTTTAGCAATTTGCAACATGCTCTTTGCTCAATTTCAGCCGAGCCACATTTTTTTAAGAGAAAATTTTTGCTTTTCTTCTTGTATCTCAAGCTGAAGCTGACAATATTCTCCAAAGTTTGAGGAATTTGCAGACAATTGTGAATTTATGGTGAAATCTTTCGTATATTCTGCGAGAATAGAAACCAGAAAAATGTTGATAATGTGATTTTTTTATTTTAAATGAAACATTGTTCCGGACACCAGCTAAAATGAGCCGACACCATATTTTCATTTTCATTTTCATTTGAAAGCGTGGTATGCGTAACATCGATGAAAATTTAATATATAAAATTAAAAAAAAATTAATTATAAGAAAAAAAAACTTTTTAATACACAACGTTTTTATAAATGGACTAAAAAATAGAAAATAATAATTTTCAGTCCCATAGAATTTGTTTTTAACTTTTGATTTTGAAATTTTAGCAAAAGTCATTATAAACAATTTATGAGATTGAAAATTAAAAGCGTGGGGCGCATGCAATACAAAGCATTAGATTTATATAATTGACAATAGTCAAACTACATAACATAGACCTAAAATTTCTACAGAGAAAGTACAAATTTGAGATCGATTTTAAGCAGTCGTTATTCATATATCCACATACATACCTATATTACCCTTCATATCAATTCTGGTCTGTTACATGCGCCCCTCGCTTTTCATTTTCAATCTCATAAATTGTTTATAATGACTTGCTAAAATTTCAAAATCAAAAGTTATCAAAACAAATTCTGTGGGACTGAGAATTATTATTTTCTACTTGTTAGTCCATCATTTTTACAATAGATATTAAAATAATTCAACGATATTAATAGATTGGTGCACACACATGCATATACTTATGTATGTACATACATACGAGCACTTTCATTTAAAGAAATGGCGTGTCGTCCATTTCCGCTGTAGCGTACGTAGTGCATACATCTACCTCTCGAACCAACGAGGTTGATGTCTAGACTTTGTAGGAACTTTGCAAAGCAAAGCTTTTATAGCTGTCTGGACACACAACATTGAAAGTTTCTGGACACACAACATTGCAAGTTGATAAAAGCGTTATAATAATATGCAATTAAAACTTATTATTAACTGACTTCAAAAAGGAGAACGTTTATCAATTCTTCGGAATATTTATTTTATTTTATGTACATACATATATTACTGGGTAACTTTGGACAACGTGAACCGTTTTCCACTATTTTTTTTGATAGGAAAGGCGGTACGTCAAGGATGGTCGCATACTAATCATCGTGTCATGAAGAAATTAACAGTAATCCTAAATTTTTGATTGAGCATTGAAGTCGCTGGTATTTTTTGCTTAAAAATTACTTGTTGAACATAACTTTCCATCCTTTGTTTTTTCTTGATATTCATAGATTTTGCAAACTCCATTCTGATCCTACGGGATTTTTGAATTGTGCTTTTGATAAGGATAGTTATTTTTTTAGTTTAATATATTTATCCTGCAAAGGAGTTTTAATACTTACTCCGAATTACTCATGGTTCCTTAAATTATTCAATTTGATTAATTGGTTAGTGTTTAGTATTTATGCTCAAATAACTTTTACTTACTTTCAATGTTTTGAAATATTCTTACAAAATTTTTATTAAAGCGATGCCTACTTCTATATATTTTTTTGAATATTTTGTCCGAAAAAGGTTAGTGAAAAACTATAAAACAAATACATTCTCGATGCCTTCAACGGTTAGAAATGCAAAAATACAAACTTCCGTTTAAAATACGAGACTCAGGTGAGGCGGAGCTTGAGGGTAAGAGAAACTATCGTAATACTCGTAACATCCGCTAACATATCTGTGTTCGTATGGAAAAGTAGCTTATGTTGAAAGGCTGACTTTAGTATAAT